ATGTCTTTTGGGAATAGGGTTTCAGTTTTTGGGCTTAGGGTTTAGGGTTTAGGGTTCAGGGTTTAGGGTTTAGGATTTAGGGTTTAGGGCTTAGGGCTTAGGGTTTAGGGTTTAGGGTTCAGCCGCCGGCCTTTTCCTTCAAGCTCGGCACAGAACTCGACGTCTTCGCAGAGCTGGTGGTTCTCACGGAGCTGGAGGTCCAAACGGAGGCCTGGGCGAAGGCCGAACCCAACTGTAGGGCTTAATGTAGGGGCCTTAGTGATTAGAAGAGGGTTTTGGGGGTTCCTTAATATAACTGTAGCATAATGTGCCGCAAACCCTATTCTAATGGGTTTAAGGGTTTCGCTACAGGAGCCCATGAGGCAATAACATTGCTAAAAAATTCCCTAAAACATCCGACCTCTCTGTAAACTACCGTCCTTGCAGCTTAACTTGCTTCAGCCAAGCATTTTGAGCATGACCTCAACTTAACAGTATCACCGGATAGCCCCCATGTAATTACTCGAACATGCCGCAAGACCCTGCTCTAATCACTCAGGCCCTCAGCCCTAAACCCGAAGCCCTAAACCCTAAACTCCACGGCCTAAGCCCTAAACCCGGAGCCCCAAACCCTAAACTCCACGGCCCAAACCCTAAACTCCACGGCCCAAACCGCCCTAAACCCTAAACTCCACGGCCCAAACCCGAACTAAACCCGAAGCCCTAAACCCTAAACTCGACGGCCCAAACCCTCAACCCTAATCCTTCGGGTTTAGGGTTTAGGGTTTAGGGTTTAGGGTTTAGGGTTTAGGAGGACCCAGACGCGCCTGCGAGGTGTCCATGCTGTCGCTCAGCTCGGACCCCACAGAGGCCTGCCGAGCCGGGCTTGGGGTTTAGGCTTTAGGGGTTCAGGGTTTATGGTTTACGGATTAGGGTTTAGGGTTTAGGGTTTAGGGGTTTATTGTTTAGGGGTTTAGGGGTTTAGGGCTTAAGGGTTCAGGGGTTTAGGGTTTAGGGTTTAGGGGTTTAGGGTTTACGGTTTAGGGTTTAAGGGTTTTGGGTTTAGGGTTTAGGGGTTTAGGATTTAGGGTTTAGGGGT